AAAATGACCTATGAACTTTCACAGGCCCATGGATACAAATATTCAGAAAAAAAACACTCACAGGAAGAAATAACTAATAAAGTCTCCCAGGATTTGAATTCAACTTTCCTAAAAAAATTCTGGTTGTTTTCAGAACATCAATGATCAGTTCATAACAATTAGTAAGAACAATTGTTATTTTTAAAGTATAATATTCTGAAGACAAAGACATGACTGTATTTATTTTTCATTTTAATAATTATTGTGAAAAATTTTAATCTAAATTTATGAGTATGACATTGTGACAAAATTGAGGATTACTTTTTAATTATTAGAAGTAGTAAAACTACATCTGAAAAGCTTATAATACAGCTAGCCCTATTAACAAAGCTTAAAAGTTATTAAATTTCAGAGCAAGAAACTTTCTGATGAAAAAATTTAAAAATTGAAGACTTAACATTAGTGATAACTTCTCAAAACCTAGCATTAGTGGTCTCTTATTCTTTAGCATTTAAAGCACCATTTTTCCATGCTGTTTCTGGCAAAATAGAAACGTCTTCATTTGCTGGTTCTTCCTGTATAATTAAAAACCCTAAATATCAATCAGAAAACAAGTATCAGAAGCCTCTGAAAACTGGAAAGAAGAAAGAAACACAGGTAGAGAATTCAGGCCCTAGGAATGACATGCATTTATTTCCATTTCGCTTACATACTCCAGAAAGGGTTCTCAAGAAGACAGCCACCCTGAAGTGTCAATGAATACTCCAAGGAAAAGTCTCGAGGGAAGCCTCTTTTTCTTTCTAGACAGATAATGAAGAAAACAGCAGCCTCCCAAGACAGAACACTTTCAAATAGTAACTCTGCTACTGAAAATGAATATCACAAAACAAAATGTAGCTCTTCACCACCCACACACGAGAAGAGTCACTTTAAAAATCCTGTATTATATCATTGCTAGCAATATTGAAGTTCTCCAATCCAGCTGCTGAGATAGTTTTATTGGGCTAACTGTGCAGTTCTAAGTTTTGATGCCTTCTAAGCACTAAATCTTATGGAATCAGTGGACCCCATGAAGATACTACTCTCATCAAGCTGCAATAAAAGCAGAGGAAGCCTAGGCAAGCCAGGACTTTTGCAGTACTCGGAGCTAAGAAAGCAATGTAGAGTTTCAGCAGAGGGTGTGCATGAACGGTAAGACAAGGTACTAGCAGCAGAGGTCTGGAGGGCCAGCCAGAACACTCACATCTGGTTCACAGTGAAGAGACTCTCCTCTCTCCAAAGGATGTTGGCAGAGACTACCAATAAGATATGAACTTAAGCTGCCTCCTGGAAGTAAATACAATCTAGAGCCTTAAAACATAGTAGCCAACACATCCAGATGCTAATGGAAAACCAGTTATCACACCAAGAACCAAGATCTTAAAACTAGTAAGAAATGAAATTCAGGATACACCAACATCTCTGTAACAACATCAGAGTTATCTGCTGAGCAATTCAAGCCACCCATAATACACACGTTGCAAGAGAAAGCCACAAACATGAGAAGATGAAGAAACACTTGGCAAAGTCTTTAAGCAGAAAAATTTAAAGAATCAAGTTGAAATTGAAAGGCTAAGTGATTAAATAACTGAACAAAATCAATGGCTCTCAGTAGCTGGAGCGTATAAAAGAAAAAGTAATAATGAAGGAAAGCACTAGAAATTACTCAGTTTGAGCAAGAGATAAAATTAAATTAACAAAAGGGTGATGGAAATGTCTAACGTTGACTTTGGTGAAGGTCACACCAGGCAGAAAGTATGAAAATCCTTTGGATTAGATGCCTTAAATGATAAATTATACTATTCTATGTAGTGATTTATCAGTAAAGCTTTTTTAAAAGTTCAGTTGATGAAATTTCAATTAAATGGTGAAAGGGACACAAAAGCACTTGCTAAAGATGCATGGGAAGTTCAATGTTTGGATCAAGATATGGAACTGATGTGTATAGATATTAATCAAAATTAATTAAGTCAAGCATGTAAACTATGTGTAATTTCTCCTTAACCATGGCACTTAAGAACTGGTTCTTGTAAGAACTTATTACATAATATCAAATTTCTTTCCAAGATATTTTCAGCAATTTATAATCATAAAGGTTGTATTAAAATTCAGGTGCTTTTCATCTTTGCGTCCATAATATTGATAACTTTGTGGCTAAATAAATGACATTATAGCTTGAATTATTATTAATTTATTGTTAAGTGATGCTGGAAAAACTGGATATCCACTTTCAGAAGAATGAAATTAGATCCATATCTCTCACCCTGCATTAAAATCAATTTAAACTTGATCAAAGACCTGAATTTAAGACAGGGAATGCTGCAACTGCTAAAGAAAAACAAAGAATATACTTCCCTTCAAGATGTACATATAGATAAGAACTTTCTGACTAGGACCCCACTATTAGAAGGAATTTCCCCAATGATTAATAAATTGGATGAATTGAAATTTAAAATGTTTTATCCAGCAAACTGAATAGACAGCTTCAGAATGTGTGAAGATATGTGGTACCCTATGTAGAATTGAAAAACATTATAGTAAGTGACGTATTCCAGGTCCCAAATGACAAATACCAGACTTTACCTCTCATATGTAGATCCTTGTCTCTAACTGTTAAATATGTGTATCAGGAGACGACAAATATAAATAAGAGCAACGAAATTAGAAAGGGGCCCATGAGATTAGAGAAAAGAGCCCTTAGTGGAAGACAAGGGAAGAAAACAACAAAGTGAAAGGGAAACCCTAGGGGTAAAATGTTACAGTGGAGAAGAGGCTGGAAGATGAGGGAGCGAGGGGAAGAGTAACCACCAAAATGAAGTGTGTACGCAAATCACACTGGAAACATACTTTGTAAGATAACTTAAACACAAAAATGTAATATTGTTTAAAAAGATAAACACAAAAAAATATGAAAGTGATTTTCATTTTTTGTTTGCTGATTTATTGTTGTTTAAATAAACATGCTTAAATAAGTGTTTCCATATCACATGCTCATTGGGCTTCTGTCTTATTGACATGTCCTTGACTTTTTCTCTTCTTTTACAAATCTTTCTAAGAACTGAGTCTGCCTTCTCTATTGTTAGGAGAATAAAATATTTAGCCATAGAGTTCATGTAAGTATTTTTATCTTTTAAAAATGTTTCTTTAACACAGAGTTAAATTTTCTTTTGCATTTCTTAAATGCTCTTCAGAGAGTATAAACATGGGTAGCATAAGACAGGAATTCAGCTTAGCGTTCTCTAGATAGTTGAACTGATGTTCTCACACATGTGTGGGGTGGGTATGGTGTAATGTTGTGTGTTGTGATGCATGTGTGTAGGGGTGAGTGCATGCCACAAGAGCACGTGTGGAGGTCAGAGGATAACCTGCACCAAGAGTCTGTCCCTCCTTCATGTGGTTCTCAGGGATGATATTCAGACTGTTAGTTGTAGTAATATTTCATTTGTATTTTAATAAATAAAGTTTTCTGAATATCAGAATTCAAAACAGCCACACTAGTCAGTCATCCAGGCCAGGCACACTTTTAATCCCAGGAGCTACACTAGATAGCCACAGGGGCCAGGCAGTGGCGGTGCACACCTTTAATCGCAGCACTAGAGAGAAATATAAGGCGGGATGAGAGAGGAACTCACTCTCTTTGAGTCTGAAGATTTCACAGAGGTATGAGTTCTCTAGTGGCTTGGCTGCTCTGCTTTCCTGATCATCAGGTTGAACCCCAATATCTATCTCTGGGTATTTATTATTAGTGCTACAGTTTGTCTTGGCAGCAAGCACCCTCACCTGCTGAACCATCTCACTGGCATAGTTTAGCTTATTTTGTTTATGCCATTCGTGAATGGGAGGTACTTCTAGATCTTTTCTCTATTTCATTAATCATTTTTCCATTTTCACACCAGTTATATACTACCTTACTACTGAATTGATGTATAAAACAAAAAATATAAATGAAATGGCTAATCTAATTTAAATTCCTACTAAAGTATAAGATAAAATCATAGTTTTTTTACTGAAAATATGTAAAGGCAAAACTATTCATCTTAAAATTATTTTGATGTTTTTATATCACGTCAAATTATTGTTGCATTAAAGGTGAAATTATTTTTTATTTGCCATTAACAGCACATTCTCTTCCATCTTGTTCTCCACTCATACAGACAATAACAAACGTCCAGGGTGGCACCGGCATGTAAAGAAATTAGTTTCCCTTTCATTTTCCTTATTTATTTGCTTTGGTTTGAAGACGGAGTCTCACTTTATAGCCAGGACTGGACTCTAATAAATTTGTGAAAATCCATCTGCCTTAGTATCTTAAATGCTGGGATGTTGGGCAAGAACCCAGCACCCAACCTCATTTTCATTTTACAAACATATATAAAACATTTATATATGTGTCTATATAAACATTTTATTTATATATAATATATATAAAACAACAAATATCTATTCACTCTCAAGAATATATGTATGGATATATATTGACTCTTGAGAGTTGCATATATGAAATCAAAGAGTCTAGAACAGCAAGCCTTTCTACTGTCCATTGTTCTGTTTTCAAGATGCCAATGTCTAAAACAGTCATTCTTTTTGAGCATCGAAGCCTTTGCTTTCTAGCCATTAATTACCAAGTGGTTGGTAGAATGAGACCTGGGAGAATTCCAGAGAATTCTAAATCAGATATTTTCTTGACATGGTATTACATTGTAGACCAGGATGGCTTCAAACTCTATCCTTCCAAGGGCTAGGATGATAGGCATGTGTTGTACCTGGTAATACCTTATCTGCTGTAACTACTCGCTTTGTTTGAAAACTTTTACATATTTGAAGGAAGTGTTATCTCTTGTTTTTAGTGGCTTATCTTTAGTCAAATTCTTTCTTGTTCTCTAGCTGTTTTGAAACTCAAAAGTAAACTATGAAATACAAATATAGCATAATCTTAAGACATAGTCTCACAAAATATTTAAATAAAGATAATTCAGACTTACCTCTATTTCTTTTCTTAGCTTTTCATGTGTCTTTTTCTCTTCTTCAATAAAATATGTTTTCTCAATGATTGAATCTTTTACTGTCGTAATTTTATTCATTAGCTTTGAAATGTCTTCCTGAATAATTGTAAAATTTAAAATATTCAAGTCAAAACCCAATAATCAAAATAAACCCAAGACATTCAGTGCTTTCATAATTTATGAAAACTAGTTTAATATTTAAATTTTGAAAACAAGATTAAAACATTACTTCTATGGCCATACAAAATAAAAAACCACTATATACAGAAAGCAAACCTGGATTTGAAAACAAAATAGAACACAAAGGAAAGTAGTAGTTGGGCTGACGAATCCCTGACAACAGAGCAGAGGATACTCTTTAAGTCTTTAGCAAGGAGGGGGAGATATTTTAAATCGGTATCCTCTATGGTTTTCAAAGATTAGTAAGAGGAATACAAAGATGCTCAATGTGCAATCATGAATTCAGTTTGTCTACATAGTAGCATTAATCACATGAACTGATTTGGTCTAGCTTCATCAGAATAGAAGCCAGAGACTGACATTTTTCATGAATTACCCTTTCTGCAGTAAATGGACTAATTGTTCACTGTGATTTTGACCATGCAAACACACACACACACTTAATAAAGCCACAGATGATCTATATCTCCTTTAAGCAACAACGCATTTGGAAAGTTGTTATTTAATTTATATATCTTATTGATACATGTACTTAAGTTATAAAACTTGAATAAACAGTTTCTGAATGTAGAACTATTGGTATTACATTAATTTAACTATTATTTACTATATATACTTACAAAAACCAGAAAAGGGTTTAGTAAGTAACACTTCAAACCTGTATTTGTGTTGTATAGCTCCCTTGTGGATTGTGGAGATTTTCCATAAGATCTTCTTTCATTGTCTTTAGGTTTTTGATGAGATCTCGCTTTTCATAGAGTTCAGTCATAAATGAGCATTTGCTGTCTATCTCTCCTAAGCTATCTTTATAGGCTTTTATTTTTGCATAATATGCATTATATTTTATCATTTTTTCCTTGAAATTTTCTTGGGCTGTTTCTGAATCAAATTTAAGCTTTACAGTTTCTGAATATAAGGACTCAATCTGAGCTTCCAAGAGTCCACACCGATGTCTGGAATTCTCCATGGCAGCATCTTGCTGGTGCATCTGCCTCTCTGTTTCTTTAGCTTCTGCAGCAGTAGCTGCTATTTGGTTTTCAAGATCATGAAGTTCAATCTGTAATGAATTCCATAAATATCAGTAATGATTAATTCATTTGTATTCATCACAGAGGAAAGTCATTATTTTGACTCATAATGTACATAAAAAGTCACAACATAAAAGTATACCTTTATAAGATATAAGAAAATGATTCATAATAGAAGACATGCAATTACACAATATACACTTATAGAATTACAGAAGGGTCCCAAAGTTGTATATTTCTTGCTTGTTTACTTAATTCTAAAGTCTTAAAATTATATAATTTTGCATCTTACAAATAAAGGAGATATTTGGTCATTTTAAAAATGCATTTATAGGTACCAGAAGTATTCATTCAAATAAGACAATGTGGTAAAATTTATACAGTCCAGAGTTAAGTAACCTAAAGACTAGGTTCCAGCGCCTTTACTGCTTTTTACCAATCTCTATGATCACACATAAGCAAATCTCACTTCCTTCACTTACAAAATGAACATAAAGGTATCTATTTGCTTTCCCGGGGTATCCGTTGTCACTGACCCACGCATCCTTGTTAAACCCTGGTTTTCATCCCACCAGTTTCTTTGGATCTCCTTAGTCAGTTCTTACTACTTCTCAGTCTCAACAACTCCTTCAAATACTGGGCGTCCTCAGGGCACAGCCATCATATTTCTTCTTGTCAGTCTATATGTGTAATTAAGTAATTACAGACTAGTCCCAGCTTTTCTATCTTCCACTGATGGTTACAGACTATATGTGGTGATTGAGTTCTATATGCCACTGCCACAGGCCACTTCAAATCCAGCATGTCCCCAAATCAGACTTTCCTTCCTTCCCCCCTAACCTATTTCTATTTGGATCAATTGCCACAGCACAAGACCTTAGTGATATATAATACAGTGTTATTTATCATGGACATGCCCGGAAGAAGTTGGTGTTGCTAAATGATGCATAAGGTTGAGAATAGGAAGGGGAAGAATGCAGAGGGCAGTGGGGTGAAGAGATGGACTGAACAACCGGTTTGTTAGTTTTTTTTTTTAGAAAGTAATTTTATTAAATTATAAAAGTTTCCATTTCCGCCCCTCCTCCTAACACCCTCCCACTCCCCCCACTCCCTCTCCTCCTCCCTCTTCATCCCTAAGAGCAGTCAGGGTTTCCTGCCCTGTGGGAAGTTCAAGTTCCTCCCCCCTCCATCCAGGTCCAGGAAGGTGAGTATCCAAACAGACTGGATTCCCAAAATCCAGTATATGCAGAGGAAACAAGTCCTAGTGTCATTGTCAATGGCTTTTGAGAAAGACTTCGGGCCAGCCACATTCAGAAATCCGGCCACATTCAGAGAATCTGGTTGGATCGCGTCCTTGTTCAGTCCCAGTCCAACTGGCCTTGGTGAACTCTCATTAGATCAGTCCCCTTGTATAAGTGGGTGATCGCATCCCTCGCAGTCCTGATTTACTTTTTCATTTTCTTCCTCCTTCTGCTCCTCATTTGGACCTTGGGGGGCTCAGTCCGGTGCTCCAATGTGGGTCTCCGTCTGTATCGCCATCCATCGTCGGATGAAGGTTCCCTCTGGTCTTGCCTTCTTTGTTCACGTTCTCTTTCCTTCTGCTTCTCGTTTGGACCTAGGGAGATAAGTCCAGTGTTCCAATGTGGGTCTCTGTCTCTATCTCCATCCATCGCCAGATGAAGGATCTATGGTGATAAGCAAAATATTCATCAGTATGGTTATGGGCCAAGGCCGGTTCAGGCACCCTCTCCTCTGTCCAGAGAACAATCTGGGGATCTCTCCTTGGATCTGAAATCCCATATATAATCAAGTCTCCTGTAAACCCTAAAATGACTCCCTTAGTTGAAATATATTCTTCCCTGATCCCATATTCATCCTTCCTCCCTCCCCCCCAACCCGGTCCACCGAGCTTTCCCCATTCCTCTCCTACTCCCTTCTCTCTAACCCTCTCCCCTTCCAACAACCCCCCCCCCATGCACCTGAGGTTACCTGGGACTCTTGTCTATTTCCTATCTCCTGGCAGATAGCTAAATAATCTTCATCAGATTCATCTTCTTATTTATCTTCTCTAGGATCACGAATAATAGGCTCAAAGACCTTTAATTATGGTTAGAATCCACTTATGAGTGAATACATACCGTGTTCCTCTTTTTGGGTCTGGCTTACCTCACTCAGTAAAGCGTTTTCTATGTCCATCCATTTGCATGCAAAATTCAAGATGTCATTGTTTTTTTACCACTGAGTAAAACTCTAATGTGTATATGTTCCACACCTTTTTTAACCATTCTTCTATTGAGGGGCACCTAGGTTGTTTCCAGGTTCTGGCTATTACAAATAGTGCTGCTATGAACATAGTTGAACAAATGCTTTTGTAGTATGTTAGGGAATCTCTAGGGTATATTCCCAAGAGTGGAATTGCTGGGTCCTGAGGGAGGTTGACTCCCAGTTTCCTGAGAAACTGCCACACTGATTTCCACAGTGGCTGCACAAGTTTGCATTCCCACCAACAATGGATGAGTGTTTCCCTCATTCCACATCCTCTCCTGCATAGGCTATCATTGGTGTTTTTGAGTTTGGCTATTCTGACAGGTGTAAGATGATATCTCAAAGTTGTTTTGATTTGCATTTCCCTGATCGCTAAGGAGGTTGAGAATGACCTTAAGTGCCTTTTGGCCATTCGAAGTTCATCTGTTGTGAATTCTCTGTTCAGATCAGTACCCCATTTTTTAATTGGGTTAATTAGAGTTTTAGTGTCTAGTTTCTTGAGTTCTTTGTATATTTTGGAGATCAGACCTTTGTCTGATGAGGGGTTGGTGAAGATCTTCTCCCAGTCAGAAGGTAGCCTTTTTGTCTTACTGACAGTGTCCTTTGCTTTACAGAAGCTTCTCAGTTTCAGTAGATCCCATTTGTTCATTGTTTCTCTTATTGTCTGCACTCCTGGGGTTCTGCTTAGGAAGTGGTCTCCTGTGCCTATATCTTGTAGACTACTTCCCACTTTCTCTTCTATTAGGTTCAAAGTGGTCGGATTAATGTTGATGTCTTTAATCCATTTGGACCTGAGTTTTGTGCATGGTGATAGATATGGATCTATTTTCATTCTTCTAGAGGTTGACATCCAGTTATGCCAGCACCATTTGTTAAAGATGCTTTCCTTCTTCCATTGTATACCTTTAGCTCCCTTGTCAAAAATCAGGTGTTCATAAGTTTGTGGGTTAATACCCGGGTCTTCTATTCGATTCCATAGGTCGACTTCTCTGTTCTTATGCCAATACCAAGCTGTTTTCAACACTGTTGCTCTGTAATAGAGTTTGAAGTCAGGGATAGTAATGCCTCCAGAAGTTCCTTTATTGTATAAGATTGTTTTGGCTCTCCTGGGTTTTTTTGTTTTCCCATATAAACTTGATTATTGTTCTCTCAAGGTCTGTGAAGAAGTTTGGTGGGATTTTGATGGGAATTGCATTGAATCTATAGATTGCTTTTGGTAGAATTGCCATTTTTACTATGTTGATTCTCCCAATCCAAGAGCAGGGGAGGTCTTTCCATTTTCTGGTATCCTCCTCAATTTCTTTCTTCAAGGACTTAAAGTTCTTGTCAAATAGGTCTTTCACTTCCTTGGTTAGAGTTACCCCAAGATATTTTATGCTATTTGTGGCTATCATGAAAGGTGATGTTTCTCTGATTTCCCTCTCTGCTTCTTTGTCCTTTGTGTATAGGAGGGCAACCGATTTTTTGGAGTTGATCTTGTATCCTGCCACATTACTAAAGGTGTTTATCAACTGTAGGAGTTCTTTGGTAGAGTTTTTGGGGTCGCTTATGTACATATCATATCGTCTGCAAATAACGAAAGTTTAACTTCATCCTTTCCAATTCGAATCCCCTTGATCCCCTTATGTTGTCTTATTGCTATTGCTAGAACTTCAAGCACTATATTGAAGAGGTATGGAGAGAGTGGACAGCCTTGTCGTGTTCCTGATTTTAGTGGAATGGCTTTGAGTTTCTCTCCGTTCAATTTGATGTTAGCTGTCGGCTTGCTGTATATTGCTTTTATTATATTCAGGTATGATCCTCGTAAACCCAATCTCTCCAACACCCTTATCATAAAGGGGTGTTGAATTTTGTCAAATGCTTTTTCAGCATCCAATGAAATGATCATATGGTTTTTTTCTTTCAGTTTATTTATATGATGGATTACATTGATAGATTTACATATGTTGAACCAACCCTGCATCTCTGGGATGAAGCCTACTTGATCATAATGGATGATTTTTCTAATGTATTCTTGGATTCGGTTTGCCAGTATTTTATTGAGTATTTTTGCGTCAATGTTCATAAGTGAGATTGGTCTGTAATTCTCTTTCTTGGTTGTGTCTTTGTGTGGTTTTGGTATCAGAGTAACTGTAGTGAACAACCTGTTTTAAATGCGTGCTGGCTTTCACTGGGCTGACTGGGGTATCTGGGCTTTGTCCTACTTGCATTAAGCTCCGGAGGTGTGTCCTCATACTAGCAAACAAAGAAGTGGAAGTACGACTGTGTAAGAGCTTTCCTAAAGCTTTTTGCTTGATTCACATGGCCAAACTGAGCTTCATGGGGTGGAAATGTATTTAGTACATGTGGAACACAACGACTACTACAAATTACAGAAGAAAGCATGTTCGTCGAAAGAAAGCTAATACGAATTTGCTCTTAAGAATGAGCCTTCTTGGGGTTGGAGAGATGGCTCAGTGTTTAAGAGCATTGCCTGCTCTTCCAAAGGTCCTGAGTTCAATTCCCAGCAACCACATGGTGGCTCACAGCCATCTGTAATGAGTTCTAGTGCCCTCTTCTGGCCTGAAGGCATACACACAGACAGAATATTGTATACATAATAAATAAATAATTTTTTTTTAAAAAAGAATGAGCCTTCTTAGGAGAGTCACAGCCTCACTGTCATAGCCAGCCATGATGAGGAACTTAAAGTAGAGAACATTAGGAGAGTTCCAGCATCATACCCACAGACAGACATGGGATGCTCTGAAGACACATGTGGGGG